CCTACCCTGTCGATGTCACCTGGGAGGCTACGTGACTGGGTCAGCGTGACTTCCACCACCGAGAGTTTTGAGATCATAAGCGAACCGGAAACCGAGTCGAGTCAGCTACAGACGACCCAACCCATGGAGATCGACTTTGGACCGACAGCAGTTCCGCCAGAGATTCTGATGCGAAGCTCAGCAGTAGGAGGCGAGAGTACTAGCACCCCGACCCCGAAGCCCGAGGAGGGTGCCACAAACCGCCCAGCGAAGACACGAGGGAAAAGAAGGACCATGAAGGTGCAAATTCCTGGTACCAACACCTTCAAGAGGATTAATATTCGTAAGTTGGGGCTGGTGCCCTACAAACGATGAACCCGTCAGAAGGGTGAAGAGTTTTGTTTTGTTTGAAAGAAATTTTATTTTATTTGCCCCGTAGGAGATTGCGGAGGTTTATCAGATCCTAAGGAGTTGGATCCAAACAGCGAGGAAGATAGTTGAAGACGGTGGTTTGAGTTAGAAGAATTTTTATTTTTTTTGAAGAAGATAAGGAGCTTTTTTTTTCTTTTCCGTTTCTTTTTTTTGTTTCCACGAAGTGAGTGGAGGATGTAAGGGTTGTTTTTTTACACCTCACTTTTTTTTTTAAGAAGATCACGATAGAAGTCGGAAGAAAATGTTTTTAGTTGAGGGTCATCAAAAGTAGTACGAAAGACCAAAGGTTTTTGAGGTTAAACACGGTGAGGTAAGGCTCAAGCAGTTAGCGCGAGCGCCGATGGAGCCGCCGCCGAGGCCGAGTCAGACTGCCAAAACTGGTTTCTGCGCATGACCGGCCCAGACGTGCAACAAAACCACTGGGACCGGGCGCCGCCGGACAGTCTGTGCCATTTTGTGACCCAATCAACACGTCTCTCTCTAAGGTATAGTGCCTACTTGATATCATTTTATGATTCAGGGAAACTAGTAGTTTTACGTTTTGATATTCACGAACGATATTGATTAATTGATTTGCGATAATTTGTTCACGATAAACGAGGTTTTCGATTTTGATCAGTGATCAATTGGTATTTTTTACAATTTAATTTAGATTTTAAATTGTGAAATAATTAGTTTGAAGTTAATGAAATTTTGCCGACTAGCAATATCAAATCCAAACGAGTTAGCATACACTAGGCTATTGAGGAAAGCAAAAGTTGAGTAAGGCCAATTGAGTATTCTAAAGGATTTTTACCTACACATCTTATATTTCATAACCTCTGTGTCACCTTCCAATATCCCTCCTTTTGCTGAAGCATAAGCAGCATCCTTTGGGCAGAACACGCTACTCAATTACCTAAACCCTCTTGTATCGCAGTTAAGGAGTGATTTAATAGGTTAAGCCTTAGCCTAGTTGTTATTGAAGAACTATATAATTTGAGGGTGACAATAGCCTAAGCTTGTGTAATATAACGTCATATAAACTCAATGTTGCCTTCCAAACACCTCTCCTTTTGCTGCAGTATAAGCAGCATCCTTTGGGCAGTGTACGCCATTCTATAGCCTAATACCCTATCTTGTATGCTTAACGAATTTCTGGTATTTAATTAAAACGTAGAGAGAGTTACGAAACAGAATTAACTATAAGGATATAGCTGTTTTAGTGCTCGCATAGCTAGCGTTAGCCTGTTGATTAATTGGGATCTTTAAAGGATAGTGGGGGGTCTTAGTTATTCAAATTAACCTACCGTAACCTATCCTAGATTGCTGAAGTATATTCAGCATCCTGGTTAGCTGTACAGGCTATCTACCCTTAACCTTTTTGTTGTTTAGAGCGCATTTGCGTGGGTTTAGGGTAGTGGCCGAGGTTTATACGGGCGTTTAGGTAACGATTAACCTACCGTAACCTATCCTAGATTGCTTGAAGAATATTCAGCATCCTAGTTAGCTGTACAGGCTATATACCCTTAACCTTTTTGTTGTTTAGAGCGCATTTGCGTGGGTTTAGGGTAGCGAACGAGGTTCATACGGGTGTTTAGGTAACGATTAACCTACCGTAACCTATCCTAGATTGCTTGAAGAATATTCAGCATCCTAGTTAGCTGTACAGGCTATATACCCTTAACCTTTTTGTTGTTTAGAGCGCATTTGCGTGGGTTTAGGGTAGCGAACGAGGTTCATACGGGTGTTTAGGTAACGATTAACCTACCGTAACCTATCCTAGATTGCTGAAGTATATTCAGCATCCTAGTTAGCTGTACAGGCTATCTACCCTTAACCTTTTTGTTGTTTAGAGCGCATTTGCGTGGGTTTAGGGTAGCGAACGAGGTTCATACGGGTGTTTAGGTAACGATTAACCTACCGTAACCTATCCTAGATTGCTTGAAGAATATTCAGCATCCTAGTTAGCTGTGCAGGCTATCTATCCTTAACCTCTTTGTTGTTTATAGCGCATTTGCGTGGGGTTAGGGTAGTGAACGAGGTGTATACGGGCGTTTATGTAACGATTAACCTACCGTAACCTATCCTAGATTGCTGAAGTATATTCAGCATCCTAGTTAGCTATGCAGGCTATCTACCCTTAACCTTTTTGTTGTTTAGAGCGCATTTGCGTGGGTTTAGGGTAGCGACCGAGGTTCATACGGGCGTTTAGGTAACGATTAACCTACCGTAACCTATCCTAGATTGCTGAAGTATATTCAGCATCCTAGTTAGCTGTGCAGACTATCTATCCTTAACCTCTTTGTTGTTTATAGCGCATTTGCGTGGGGTTAGGGTAGTGAACGAGGTGTATACGGGCGTTTAGGTAACGATTAACCTACCGTAACCTATCCTAGATTGCTGAAGTATATTCAGCATCCTAGTTAGCTGTGCAGGCTATCTATCCTTACCCTCTTTGTTGTTTAGAGCGCATTGGCATGGGGTTTAGGGTAGCGACCGAGGTGTGTACGGGCGTTTAGGTAACGATTAACCTACCGTAACCTATCCTAGATTGCTGAAGTATATTCAGCATCCTAGTTAGCTGTGCATGCTATCTATCCTTGACCTCTTGGTTGTATAGAGCGCATTTGCGTGGGGTTAGGGTAACGATCGGAGCGTAGCAAGGTTTAGTTTGATCCTATAACCTTTGATACCGATCCTAGTTTGCTCGAAGAACATTCAGCATCCTAACTAGCTGTACAAGCTATCGAACCTAATTCTTGAAATAGACTCTAACGCGAGAATTGAATTAACAGATAACACGACACATAGATTATACACGACAACGTTTTCTCTCGCGTCTGATAGGGTAACGATGATGAGTGAATAGCGACAACTGGTTCGCACATTTCACTGAGTTACCCTATCATTTCAATAAAGGATTTTGATTAAACACAGACGATCGACACTTTAGATTATTTGAGACGAAATTAATATTGAGTGGAATTTCAGAACAACAATATTTTGTTGGTTCACATCGACCCCTGGAAATTTAAACCCAGCATCGCTGAACTATTTTGGCCATAGGATAACGAAATCGACAAACACACAGAAATTCCCTCACAGGTTGACCAAAAAATTTGTGAAGATCAACTATTTAATATTTCAGATCTCGAAATGGATTTCCCAAATTTGAGTAGAACGAATGTGATTTCTAATTGTTCAGCTACATAAAGGAGTTTTTTAGCGGCAAGCGCTTCAACACCGAGGTAAAAAACTGGTTATCTTTGCAGGCGGCTGATTTATACGAATTAGGCATTTCAAAGCTTGTCGAACAATGTGACAAATGTTTAAATAAGCATTGAAATTATGTAGAAATGTAGACAAATATGCAAGGAATGTAAATAAAACAATTGTTTTTGAAAAAAATTAAGTTTTAATCTTTTTTCATAATTGGACTTTATTTTTGGATTAACCCTCATAAATCATAACTATCAAACAAGAAATAATAACTAAAATGTTCAATTTCCTGAACATTTGCACACAAAATTTGAAATTGTACATCTTTGCATGGGATTAAATCTACAACAATTTGCCTAATTCATACAAATCGTTATCAAAATCAAACTTTACATCTAAGCTAAAACAGACTTTGAGCCAAAGAGTGTATTACAAAATTCATACATTTTTAAAAATAAATTTTAATGGCTTTACACTTGTTAGAAGATAATTTAGTTTGAGGAATTCACGTACTGTATATATATTATATAAAATTACCATGTACCAGCTTGGGAATTACTTCTGTAATTATTGAGTTCAGGCGTTATGTACAAATAAGCTTTGTCTATTGTCTATTGCCTAAAGGAAGAAGTGTAGGCCTATATCAATCTAAGTGACTGCCTTAGAATTTTATTTAACAACTTTTAATATTTTACAGTTAATTTTTAAGTTTATCTACCATAAATCTGAGATGAATACTTAATTTAAGAATGAGCAATTGAAATACATATTAAACTTCCAGCTACATAGGTCTTTCAGACTAATGTATTTTGTGTTGTTTCTTTAATTTTTATTTATCTGTTTATCTATGCACTGGCATTCTGTGCGTATGTAAGGGAACATCCCAACCCAACACTGGTTACAATCCCTTTGTTCCAACATCGACCTTTTGTTGCATAACGAATTGACAAATAGCATCTGGGTCCAGAATCTTTCTCACTTAGTAGGCTACCAAACCTATATGTACCTTATACTTATCAAAAACCATGGATGAATAAAAAAACAACTTATGTCTTGATTTGGATTATTGCATTTTTGGATGAAGTACCGGTAGTCATTGTCAATATTTCAAATATTATCAGTTTTTTTTTCAATCCGTACAAAAGTTAGTTAAATTAGCTTGAGGACTAAATTTTAGGGCTAACTATCTTCTGCGCCATGGCAGATAAGTTTGATCCTAGTGGTGCTTCTCATTTTAAAACTCCGATTAGTCCCTTAATTTACTGAACCATTACAACGTACTGGTTGGTTTTTAAAAGTAAGATACAAATACAAAACCATTAAGAACAGCAAATTCAAACTTAATATCTAATATTTTTTAACTAATTTGTTTATGGGAAAGTTTAAACCTGAGTCGCTGAATCTCCAGCTTGAGGACCCTGATATCCTCGAGCCGCTGGGAGTACTGCTTCTGTCCAGCATCCAAGCTGCTCTGCAAAGTTTTTGTCTTCTCTCTCAACACTGCCAGTTCATCATTTCGCCGCACAAGTTGTGCATTAATTGCTTCTCTCGCACCCCTTAGCTGTGGTAACGACATTTCATTTATTTTCAGTCGGGTATTTCATATTTTTACTATGGTTGTGTTGTGAGTGTGGAAGAGAAAATAAACTATTTTATTGTGAGTACACAACTAAATTTAAAACTAATTATAAATTGTAAAATTCATTAGCAAGATCCTGGTGCCCACAGTACATAAATTAAATATGAATGAATGTCATTGCGATTGTTTCTAGTTGTTAAATCAACCTATATTTTGGATTTTGTGCCAAGCCCTTTTCCTCACTATCTATCCTTGATCATTAGACTTTAAATTAGTTATTCTGGCAAAAGATCCAGCTGATCTCAGTCAGTAACAAAGCTCTTATCTCATTCTACAAGTCTCATCCTTCACTCGCCTTAAAATACACAACCTGGTATTTTGGAGTCGTATAAATATCATTATCTCAATCTAATACTACATTTTCCTTGAGTGACCTGATCAATTTCCTTGAGGTCCCTGTGGTGCTGAGCGTACGCCTCTCTCCCACTGTGTTGCAGACTGTTCACTTCCATCTCTAAGTTGCTAACAACCTGTTTTATCTCTCTCAACTCTGCCTCCACCTTCTGTGTCTCTATCCTCATCGCCTCCTTCTCAGCGTGGGCCTTACGCAGTGCTAAAACATCCAGAAACTTACCTGGTGATTCCCGTGGTTTATCTGATCAGCGATTAACTAAAGCATCTACCAAAGTCCGAAAGCTATGGGTATTACCCAAGAAACTAAAACCGGCTTGAAATCAGTCACTACAGTTGGTAAATTACACTATATGAACAAAGCTCTGATGCATACAGCAGCCAAACTTTTTTCTAAACTTACAACAACTCCGGAGCATGTTTATTTTAAAATTCGGTAAAGCTGAATTAAATTAAATATGAACTATGAATAGATTAACTATTAATAGACAACAATTTGTTAAGATCAAATAAATAAAAAAGTCATATTAATTGTTTGTGGTGAATCTTTTTTAACTCAGATTCATCATGGTGTACCTCAGGGTTAAATACTTGGCCCATTACTTTTTTTCTGTTACTTAATGGTTCATCAAAGAATATTTGTCTTTATGTTGATGATGCTACTTAAAAGATCAGTAATAAGTTACTAGATCACTAAGAAAACGGCGTGATTCAAAATCTGTCACCTATAAACTACTTTTTAAATAATCACAACCTATATTATTAAATACTAGCAAAACTAATTAAAGTAGGTAGTAAAACCTCCACTGATCCTGTAATATATTTTTAAATAATCAAGTTTTGAAAAAAGTCAGCTCAACGATGTTACTTAGAATTAATTTTAGATGAACACTTAACATGGAATCTTTATGTTGATCATGTAGTGCATAATTTTCTTAAGGGATATTTGCCTTATATACTTATATAGTAGATGGATGTATAATTTCTGTTATATCAATATAGCCTAACTAAAAACTCTTTATTTTGCTTTTATAGATTTTTCAATAAATTTTGGTAGCTATCAATGGCGGTACATCAAAAACAAAATTTGGATAGAATTCTCCTTCTCCAAAAAAGAGCTATCCGCATCATGTAGAATCTAAATTTTTATTATTTTGATGATTCTATCTGTCACCATTTCACTAATCTGGGCATAATGACTGTATGTTTTTCCTACAGCTCTACATGTAAAACAGCTAGGCCCTGTACTTAAATAATTTGGTTCCCAGACTAGGTGACACATTTATTTTACCACAAACAGGAATACAATTTCCATTGACTTACCCAGGCTGAATTCTTTTTACAAAAAAACATCCTGCGCAGGTGCAAAATTTTTAAAGCTTTCTGTGGAATTGAGTGGCATGAATAACTTCAAGGAATTAAAAAAAGTTAAAAGTTTAACTGATTGAAAAGCATCTATTTAACGTTACTAAACTGTAGTCTGTTTGCTTTCTATCTTTTTATTGCAAATAATCATAGTGATTTTATTAATATGTACTATTTTTTTGAGTAATGACACAATTCGATGTAAACAATGTGTACTTAATCAATACAGATGTTTTCAATTCAATTCTATATTACATTTTTCATGGTAAAATAGGAATTTCAATAATTTTTTATTAAGGTAAAATTAATACTTATAGTTATTGCACGAATTTCCCGTAATATAATTTGTAAATAATTTGTATAGGCCTAATTTCATTTCTAGAAAAAGTTTGGGTCTTCAATATTGCTACAAGAAAGTCTAGCATTAGGAGAAAGAGGTTACTATTTGATATGTGAAGTTCAAGGCCTACCTCGAGCCCTAATGAGACATTGTGTTACAAACCTGATTGGTCTAAACTGACACATAAAAACATAAAACTTGACTCGTTATCCAACATGTTTCAAATGGCACTGTCATTCATGACTAACCAATTTTCATTGGGCAACTAACAGTGCAAAATTATAGCTTACCATTGTTTCAATTATAAGAAAAACATGTTGGTTACAAAAATACAAACACAGTCAAAATAAAATTAAAATAATACAAAAATCACTCTAGGCCTACTAAGTTCATATCACGTCATGCAATTATTCACAAACTAAAGAAATAAATATAAGAAAATTGAAAACAAATATGTGTTTTGTTTATTTTTAAAGATTTGTAATCTTTTTTTGATTGGTTGACCACATTTGTCTAACGAATAGTTGTAGCAAACCTCCTTCTGTTACCCTTGCAAGATGCTCGGCACTCAAAAGGTTATAACTTAATGTTTAAACAAACTTGTTTCAGGGTACATACCTAACTGTTCTCGTATTAACTGCATCTCTTTGCCAGCAATGTCTTCCTTAAGCTGTTCTAACTGGAGAGTCATCACCTTAGACTTGTGTTTGAACTCCAAGATATCCTCCTAAAATGACAATTTAAATCAAAATCCAAATATAAAAATTCCAACAAATTGGCCTTACGTGGTGTGAGGCCCATTGCGAACATTTCAGAGCCCTGGTTATTACCAAAATGTAATAGCTCAACAATACCAACTAAAAAAATGTCAATGTAAAATATTAGTATTCATAATTTCCCCCAATCGCCATATTGTTGCTCATTGGGTAGGTTTTCTTTTCTAAAACAGTCATAAAACTAAGAATGGTAAATACAATTTTTTAAATGGGTCCGTCATTTAGAATTACCCTTTTCATTTACATAATTGTCTTTGGTGTATAGTGTTTTATGTTTGTTTTATATATACATTTCCATGAATCTGGTTGGATTTAGACTGTGTAAGCCTAGCTAGGGTGTCCTAGCAAGAACAATAGATAGAATTAAAGTACCTATAGGTATTTACTTATCAAGTAAAAATGTCTATAGCCCTAGTCCAAAACTTTGAATCCAATTTATAATTTTATAAAATACAATAGAACAAACTATACAAACTTTTTTCCCATATACAATTCATATAAAATTTGCAGCATTTAACAATTTTTTTATTAGTCCAGGCAACGAAGACCGTGTAGAGAAAAAAATCATGTATAAGCCAAATTTGGTACAGTTCTAGGAGAAGGGTCCCTAAACACTAAAAGTATGTAATTATTAAATTTTATTCACTGAAAAAGGGTTAATTTAAATCAAGCCTTTCTTTATTGTACTTGGTATGGTAATATATGCCAAGTAAAATAAATAAGTTAGTAGGTCTTAGTTTTGTACTTTCATTTTTGTGTCATATATAAATCTAGATACAAAAACTCACAGTCAAATTTTAACTCAGGCATTTAACCGCACAATATATTTTAACCAAACAGGTTGATTTTAAAACATGAGAGCCCAAAAAGTCAACAAAATTTATAATTAGAAATAACTCAAGCTTACTATTTCAGTCATTTTTGCAAACTAAAATCCAAAACTCAATATCTGGTAGTAGTGTTATTAATTGTTTGCCATTACGTTTCTATTCACAACTCGAGCACTCAATCTATTTTCACAAATGTGACTAAACACGCCATACATCCGGTTGAGGATCACCACACACCAAAGCATTTGCATGTCGGATATTGGCTTGTTTTATTTTACCTTTACAATCACCTTTTTATTGAAGCTTATTAAAAAATATAACTAAGTGAATTCAGAAATGATTAAAGTTAATTTGAGAATCATAGGATGTCAATATGCTTAAAAACGAAATAAAAAATAAGTATTAACCCATAGCAAACAATAAAACTCAATACAGTGTTCTGATTCTCATGAGTTTTTTAAAAACTCAACAACAGAGGATTTTTTAAATTTTTTAGCAAGACAAATGAACCTCAATTTATACTAACAACAACCAGGAAGAATCATTAATTGGTAACCATAAGACTGAATAACAATTGACAGCAGTGACCTGAGCTTCATTGAGGTTCTTGGTGCAAGTGTTGAGTTCAAAGCGCAAGTTCTCACATTCGCTAGCCTTGTTAGCCAGTTTGCCCTCCGACTGAGTCAGTTTCTTCTTGTAGTCATTGACAGCTACTTGCTGCAGCTTAGTGTCATCAATGGCAGCTTCCAGTTTCTTAGTCAACACCACAGCATCAGCCACATGTCTGCAACAATACAACATTGATTATAGAATTTTAGTGATGGTGTTTAGCAAAGTGTATTTAAAAAAAATGGAGTAGGTACAGGTAAAAGGTTACAAAAAATAACACTGAGTTTTGTCCTAATATATGACTTCTTCAGAGGGTAGTTTAAAGAGAAAAATCGGCTGGTAAACTAGTTTAACTCCAACCTATAATATATATATATATATATATAAAACTAATAATCCATTTGGCTTTGTATATGGTCTCGCTAGCCTTAGGATTCGCATCCCATATTTTGCTGAGTGTTGAATAGGCTTTCCTCTGGTATCAATAAAATTTAGGAAATAAGTGCTATAAAATATCCACTTCTCATAACACAGTTATATCATCAAACTAAATTTTCTCTTCAAGTGTTTGGTACTATGGTAGTTGATAAAAATATAGTTCAAATTACATGGTATTAGTTTTTTATCATTGGCATTGTAACGTGGTGTGTGCATAAAACAGCATTTATCAGTGCATACTTTAGAACAATTCAACTATATTATTTTGTTCTTAAAATGGTTCCAGCTTTATAACATGGCGATGGGATTTACTATGATGCTTATAAATAACCAAAGGTTTGACCTAGTTTACCTGTCCTTCTCCTTCTCCAGAGCAGCAATGTGCTGTGATTGTCTACTCAACTCCAAACGAGTGTTGTCAATGTCATGCTCCAAGTACAGCTTTGCTTGATTTATCAATTTTATTACTTGTTCTTTTTCACTGACAAGAGCTGCAACATGATGCAGAATATAATAATTGGAGTGAAATAATAATCACTCAAAGTTAATAGGTTTTTCATAGTACATGCAATAATTTTGATGTCAACTTCTTACATTCAATCATTTGTTTTGTCAGTGAAATCAATTAGACATTAAGGAAAGCTACAATTGCATTATGATACTTGTATGTTTTTCAGAACAAATTGAATGATATTGATCAACTAGAGAACACAATCAGAGAAAAACAAACTATATTGTTTTGACGCTCCTTTAAAATGGCGAGTTCATGTTAATTTACACTATGTTTCTAGTATAGATTAAAAATAGAGAAAAATCTGCAAGAAATTGTGTTGAATTTTAGAGTTGTAGAGGGGCTAGTTCAAACATTGTCTGTCAACAGCATTTTATTACATGACACTAGTTAGGAATCATCCTATATGGTAGTGTTTCCAATCTTGAGAAACAACAGGAGTTGGTGATGTGTTGGTCTTGTTTGTTGGGGATGGGTAAATCTTATTGCAGAAATAGCTAAATCCCTTCCACTAAAAGCTTCCCTTATTTAACACAGACTTACCATTGACTTTAAGTAAGTTTCTGTTGACTATGTCCCTCTCTCTAATCGTGCTCTCTAGTAGCATCTTATCATCCTTCCCCTTATTCTGTTCTTCTCTGATCGTCCTTTGTAGAGTCTGCAGACTCATCACTAACTTTGCTTTTTGTTCTTCCAGCTCACTCTTCTGTCCTTCTATTTTACTTATCTTCTTTTTAAACATTTCCTGGATTGTTGATGTTTTGGCCACCTCTGACAACAACTTGGCTATTTCATCTTCATTCGCCTGTAAAAAACCTGGTTATATTACAAAGAAGCTTCATTTAAACCCAATCTACTGTAACACAGAAGACAACTTTTTGACCTCATATTATATGAGAAAATAATATCTTCAAGATGTTTCTAAAAGATCTATGAATAAACCCCCAAACTTTTTCTAGGAGAACATGCGGTGCTGACTACAATATGATTTGAGAGCATAAATGTAATGGGTGAGGCACACCCTAAGAAAACTTGAAAGAGTGTTGGAGTGAATCCGCAAGGTACAAGAAAAAGAGGCAGACCCAAGCAAACTTGAAAAAGATCCATTGAAAAAGGAGGTGCAGAAAACTGACAAAACTGAGGAAGTTCCGGCACTGCTCATCCTTCACTTATCATTGCCTTAACCCCTTAACCGCGGTCTAAGTAGCCTAGTCAAAATCCGCCATTGCCACTTATTTTTGCCGTTTTTGACGATTTTTACTTGTGATTTAATAAACTGTACCAGTTGTTTTTCTAAAGAAAATAGTTATCAATATTGTTTGTAGACATCTTCAAAAACATTAAGCTTTAACAATACCCTACTAAAATTTGTGATTGTGGGGGGGGGTGGGGTTCGGGGGTTTCTTGAGTTAGGCCTATCTCGTGCGTGGCGGTTAAGGGGTTAAAATAGACTACTTGACGTCTTGGCACTTGGTATCATCAATCCTACCTTGACCTGGTTGTTGAGCACTGTGATGGTCTGTCGCAGCTCCTCCACCAGGCCGACCTCCCTCTGGTAATCTTCTTGTGACTTGACAAGTCGCTGGTTCATCACTTCAATGGTCTGGCCGTTCTTGTCATTCAACACCTGCAGACACAGGTTGAACACCATTGACACTAAGATACTGAAGTAGATATCCCGTATGGCCCAGCTGTAGTAACATTTTTATTCAAATAGAACATTACTAAAGAGTCTCTCATAGTGTGTGCACTGTCAAAACTATATATTCTTCCACATTTTTTTCATTTTGAAAGCTATGGATATGAAATAGAAGATACTATAGTTTAATATAAGTTGTCCATTGAGTTTATCTTGGTTGAAAGGTTTGTGTATTCGACTGAAATCTATAATTGGCATCAGTTTAGTTGGTGGCTCAAGTCATTATGTTCAATTCTAAATTTATTAAATCCTCTAAATGTTTAAAAATAACGATTGATTTTGATGTGTCCTGATGATTTTAGTTTTGAAATAAATCAACTTTGTTTCTTCCTGCCCGAATGAATCTCAGTTAATGAGAAAGAAACTGTTAAACTCAAAAGGTACCTAGTAAGAATCAAACCATTTATGGGCAAACATTTGGCCTATTATTTTATGGGATGCCTGTATTATGATAATTTATAATCAGGCAAAATAAAAATAACAGGACTTGTATGTGGGGCCTGTGTACTCTGCTAGTCTTTACAAAGTGGAATTAATATAATGTAGTTTTTGTACTTGTTACCTTTATAAGGTATTATCCAATACACGATGCCAACGAGTCTATAACAAACAAAGCATATCATCGTTCAACTAAAATAAATATGTTTGTGTATTGAAACGTTACCCTCAGCTCTTTATTGGCATTCTGATGGTGTATCATTTTCATTTGAAGTTCCTGGATCTGTTCATTCAGTGTCACAATCTGACTGTCTTTGACTGTAAGTTCCTTCTTGACTCGAAGCAACTCGTCCTCAAACCGCTCTTTGAACCTTGACTCTTTTGACATCTCGTTAGTCTGGTTCTGTAAAAGACACATTTGAATTTTTATTAAAGTATAATTAAAAATCAAGAATGCAATCTTCATACGTATGGTGATTTTTTTAAACCTCTATAACTCTAAAGTAAACTTAATATATACCTTGAACTGGGGGAGGAAGTAAACATTGATAACTTAAGTTTACCTTACTGTTGCCAAGTTCTTGAAGAGTGTGGACATGAAGCTTAACATTTTTCCACAGTCCGTATATTTACATAATTGTTTACACTATATTACACTATTTATTTACATTTATCTGGGTTTGAATTATGAATATGTTCATGGTAGATCTCTTGCAGTTTAGCTATGGATTTAGAATGTACATGTTTGAGCATTGTTAATAAATCAGTAAATGAAATATGGTGATTTTGGTTACTTGGTGTTTGGCAACTAATGAATCAGGATCGGTATGCCTGGCTGGTATTATGTTCTTTGAATATTTGTATATAAGGATTTGTGATAGTGTAATTGATGTACTCTTTGTGGAAAGGCAATACACATGTTATTTTGTATACACCCCTTTCGTGATCAATTGGTTTGTTAGTGTTTGTTGAAGATCTTTCCAATTTTTTCTGTGATTCAGTTGCTATAGCTAATTAGCATGTTCTAATTGCACTCAGACCTTCACTTTTACCCGACAATTGCTATTTTATATGGGTGAAAGTGAAGGTCTGAGTGCAAAATTCGTCGAATAGAGCGATCAGACATGCCAAGAGCAGCAGCTTGTCTACGCACTGGGCGATGCGGGCTCGTTAGCACAGCTTGTTGCACTCGCTCCACGTTCTCCGGCGTCCTCACTGACCTTGGACGGCCTGTAGCCTACATTTTGCAGTTGATCCTGTGGATCTAAAGGTATCCACCCACAATTTGATGGTGTTTCGGGATGGGATAGGTTCCCCACGAGCCACATTAAACTGCCTACGAAACTTACGCTGTGTATCAACAACAGAATCGCCACTTTTAAAATACGCCTCAACGACAAACGCGCGATGTGTTCCGGTCCACTGCTCCATGGCGACTGAAACTGAAATGGGGTCACTTGGCCTTGAGAATGAGCCGCTCCCCACCACCCCCGTCCACTCGGCTGCCGGACTGTACTCGCATGAAAACCGTCAGATATTTGTGCCGCTCCCTGTATTTGGGCTGGCCTGTCATTACCATTCTGGGAGGAAGGGTCATCAACATATCTGATGTAGAATTTTATATGAACTGTGTGCCTGATGATGCCACACAAGTGGAGAAACGGACATGGAGCTTCATATCCACACTCTTCAAGAACCTGGCAACCATAAGGTAAGCTACATTCTTGGTACTACTGGGAATACACCACACAAATTTAAATATTGATATACTGCAGCATGGTGTTCATCCTTTGGTGTATGCAGTGATAGCATCTATCATAAATAAATTTTAACAGGTAGGGCCTATTGGAAATAAATAATACATTTTAGTGGTAAATGAATCTGACTGGCAGAGCACAGCAACTTTTTTTAGGAGTGTAGGGAGCGGACTCAGGTTGACTGGTTTTCCAGTGAGGATAAAAATGGCTCAACCAATCGAAGAACATTATTTGGATGAGACCATCTCAACTGATACTGATATCAATTGGTAAAAAAATGGTGGATTTAATGATATAGTGATCATACTCTCGCTAACCGCACTTTTTTAGGAGTTGGACTCAAGTTGAATGGTTTTCCAGGGGTGATAAAAATGGCTCAACCAATCAAAGAACATTATTTGAATGAGACCATCCCAACTGTTACTGATATCATCTGGTAAAAAAGAGGGTGGATCAATGAAATAGTGATACTCTACTACCAGGTAACAATAAAATAATAAATTAAAAAACTAATCATCGAAAACTCATAACTCCGTCCTTGAAACCACTTATGGACAGGTTCTGTATGGTTAGTCTTTGTGAACATTAAAAATATTGTTTTTTATTATTGTTCTCTATTAAATTGACATAGAAATTCTACCTCCAGCTCCTGCTGTAGTTCTGATATCCTTAAATCAGCTGAGGAGTTCTTCCTCTCCAGCTCATCTTGGTACGTCATAGCAGCATTCAGTCTCTCTCGCAAGTTGGAAATTTCAGCCATCATTCGTTCACGTTCTTTTGCTTGCGCTTCCTTGGTTTTTGCCATTGAACTAAACCTGGAAACATTAGATGGATCATTGTTTAAATGTTTACTATTGAAATAATCAACAGGATATGTTCTTGTATGACTATCATAAAATCTTTACGTTTGTCTGTCATGGTTTTTCTGTAAAAAACCATATTCAATTAATATCTACCGGTATCTTTAAATTTTGTCAACGCTATTAAAAAAGAATGATAACAATATTGTTAAAACATTTGTCTGATACTTGAGACAGTATAGTTGTGTTATGAAAAGAAATGTTTAGAAACTAAATTTATATGGTCTTATTCAACTTAATAATCAGCTACATTTTACATGAGGGAATTGCACAAAACTGTAAACATTACATACATAAACAAAACCGTCTTAAATAAAACAGCTGTAGAAATATTTGACAGCACTGTACAATAGAAATCATATTACTTAACATTCACCCCATCTTTTTTTTAATGTAATCCCTTAGATAGGTGGGAGGTCTTCGGACTCTAGTGGAACTACGCAGGTTTGTTTCTTCATTATCAATCACAGAAGTAGGGGTCACGGTCTCATGTAGAGGGCATGCTTCGATTTCAGATTGAATAGAGTTCCCAATTTCAGGTTGAAGCAGGTTAGATTCACGTCTCAGGTCTTGAAGAACAGGATCTAGTTCTTGACTGGGATTTTCTGAAGTCACAAGCTCATCCTCTTGTTGGATAGCTTCAGGGGGAACAGCGAGATGTCGCACCGATACCAGAGCCTCTCTACCATCTCTATACTTGATGCAAGCATAGTCTGGATTAGCCTCTATCAGCTGAGCTTGTTCCACTAAAGGTCATATTTGTTATTTCTTACATGCCTTCTCACTAATACTGGTCCTGGATTCATGAGCCATTGAGGTTGAGAGGTGCCATAAAATGATCGTCTCTGGTGTTTGAAAAGACGTTCATGTGGGGTCTCATTCGTAGCTGTACACAGTAACGAGCGTATACAATGCAAAGCTTCTGGCAAAACATACTCCCACTGTTCTGTCTTCAGTCCCTTGTTTCTCTGAACAAGAGATACAGTCTTCCAAATCGTTCCATTATATCGCTCAGCTTGAGAATTACGTCGAGGGTTATAAGGTGAAGATCAGCTTGTGGCGATTCCTTTTGAGTGTAAGAAATCACTCAGTTCTTTTGACATGAAAGCAGAACCTTGGTCGGAGTGGACAAAAGCAGGCATACCAAAGATGGTGAAGATTGATGTAAGTGCTTTGATGACAGAAGATGATGATGTGTCCGAGCAAGGAATAGCAAACGGATATCTTGAAAACTCATCAACAACCGTCAGTATGTATTTATTCCTTGTCACAGATGGTATTGGCCCCTTAAAATCAATGTTAAGTCTCTCGAAAGGAGCCATTGCATGGATGAGTGTTGATGGGGTTTTTTGGTAGAACCGAGGTTTCACTTCCGCACAAACAGAGCATGAAGCGGTCATTCGCCTGACATCTTCGATAGAGTAAGGGAGATTTTTACTTTTTAAGAAATGAAACATCCGTACTATTCCAGGATGTCCAATGTCACAATGAATTCTACGGAGTTTTTCGAAATCTCTAAAAGAGATGGAAGATGAAACTCGTGAAAATGGATCTGCTACTACGTTTTCCTTGCCAGAACAGTACACTATGTTGTAAGAGAAAGGTGCTAGTTCCAATCGCCACTTTAAAATCTTATTGTTCTAAAACCTTTCCCGCGTGTTTCTGATTGAACACATAGGACACAGATTTCTGGTCTGTAATTAATTTAAACCGTCTTCCAATCAGGAAATGCCTCCATTTCTGTATTGAATCAAATATTGTGAGGGCCTCTTTTTCCATAGCAGGTAGATGTTGTTCACTCTTAGTTAGGATTCTTGAAAAGAAACATATTGGCCTTCCAGCTTGTGAAAGGGTAGCGGCTATAGCTGATTCAGATGCATCTGTTTCTACAGTAAATGGAATATTCTCTTCAACTGCAGACATACTGGATCTTGCTATTTCTTCTTTTAATGTCTTAAAAGCCAATACTTCTTTACTGCCTACTGGGAATGATTTGACTGTAGTAAGACAATGAACCTTCTCAGAGAATTTAGGAATCCACTTTGCGTAATAGGACAACATGCCAAGAGCTCTTTTAAGGCTTGCATTATCAGTTGGAACGGGGAAATTCAAGAGTGATTGCAAGCGGTCAGGATCAGGACGCATGGACATGTTTTCTACAATATACCCCAGAACTGGAATGCTGGTCAACGAAAACTTAGATTTTTCTTTGTTCAGGGTAAGATTATACTTTTTAGTTGCTTCCATGAATCTCTGTAGGTTTTGATCGTGTTCTGCTTGGCTAGGACCACAAATAGTTACATCATCCAGATAAGCAACCGTGTCTAGTAGATTTTCAGTTTCTATAATCTGGTCAAAAGTTCTTTGAAAACACGCCACACCATTAGTTACGCCGAAAGGAATTCGAGTGTATTGGTAAAGTCTCCCATTAGCTTCAAATGCAGTGAATGGTTTATCTTCATTCCGAATAGGTATTTGGTGATATGCCTCCTTCAGATTGATTGTACTGAACACTTTATATTAAGCAAGCTTAGAGACAAATGATTCAATGTGAGGTAGAGGGTAGGCATCAAGCTGTGTGAATTTGTTGATGGTTTGAGAGTAGTCAATACACAGACGTCTCTTGTGCCCATTGTTGACCACAATTACTTTGGCTCTCCAAGGTGATTTACTCGGTTCAATTATTCCTTCTGATATAAGCCTACCTACTTCACTTTTTATGAACTTACTAGCTGGCCCGACAGACGTCGTCCTGTCCTATTGTGGTTTTATGTCACATGCTCGTTCATTTTCAAGATGAGCTTGTTCGCATGGCTCAATCACGTCCTGGTTGAAGTTCGTTCGCTACGCTCACTCACCTTTAGGTTGGAGTTCGTTCGCTGCGCTCACTTGCCTTCAGGTTAGCTCGTTCGCTACGCTAACTCGCCTCCAGGTTGAAGTTCGTTCGCTACGCTCACTCACCTTTTGGTTGCAAATTAACTGTTCTCATAAATTAAAAATAAATATAGTGCTGCACCCTGTTGGTAAACCTATTAACTTTTTAATGCTATTGAAAATCACAGAATCAAATTGTTTAGTTGCACCAGCTGTTAAAAGATTCTTTAATTCCATTTAAATATGAGTACTCATAAGGTTAACATGGGAAACTCCAGAGCCACTGGGGCGGAGCTCTATTGACGGATCTGCACCAAACTTCACACAAACCATCCTTGAATAATGCTTAATAATGCCTGAAAGTTTCATTACAATCTGTCGAGTGGTTTTGGAGCCCATAAAGGACAAACATACAAATATACAAACATACAAACATACAAACATACATTGGATTTTATATAAGACTATCATCTTCAGAGTAGCAGCGGGACTTGATGGCTACAGGCTTGACGTCATTAGTTAGATTATCAAACAGTGGTGGTGGTGATACTTTAGCCCTAAGTAGATTGCAAACATTGAAGGGTGGGCGTTTACCACCGAAATTCAGCTCCACAGCAGAATGTTGCCGAAGGATGTCATGTCCAATTACAACATCGGCACATAAATCAGTTAAGACAAGCAGCTTTGTCTGTGGGTATTCGTGGCCATCGCACACCATGTCAACAATACATTGGCCAAGAGTTGATGAAACATGGCTTGTTGATGCCATCGATATTTCATGCTTTGTTGGGTATTTAGAAATATTGAATCTTTTCACAGTAGCTTCAGATATAAAACTGTCGGAACTCCCAGTATCAATGAGTGCATCTACTGGTTTGCCATTTAACATCAGTGACACTGTAGCTTTTGAAAGACATTTTTGTGAGGCAGCAACAAGAGAGGAAGACATTGAGTTTATTTCTGTCTTTTCACTTTGAGTTGTTTTACCCTTAAATGTTTTACTTTGGTTGCGAGAATTGCAAACTGTTGCCCAATGGCCTTTCTTGTCACAAATATTACAAACTGAGTCTTTGGCAGGACAGTTGGCTCGAGAGTGTCGTGACCGTCCACAAAAGAAACATTTTTCTCTTCTTAACACGTTGAGTGCGGGCATCATCAATAGATGATGTCCGACACTAGCACTGGTGGCGGACATCAGCTAAAGCTGACGTCATGCCACTCTCTCCACATTAGTTTAGTGTGAGCTCAGCCTTTGCCGGGGAACGTTATAATCGTTGCCAGCCTGTAGCTTAGATTATGTAGCTTTAGTCTTGTGTAGGTTGGTACTAAAATTTCCCGTAAAAATCCCGTCTAGCAATACTTTTGTCCCGGTTCCGGCAATTTTCTCTTTTCGAGCCACTTTACAAAGACACTGGCTACGAATCCAGGCAGTGCTGCTACCTTTGGGTGTTTCAGTGAACTACGTCCACTCTCGGGCTAACACAGCACAATCACCGCTGCTCTTTTTTTATTCGTCAGACTGAAATATTTGAATGCCAATTGCGTTCACCGATTCAGTTGCGCTGCGGGGCTTCGCCCGGGCCTCGCCGCCATTATCGAGCGCCTGTTTGAAGGTATTCCGCACTGAACGTGTTAACGAGGATAATTGGTGTGAAGACGAATCAGAAGCTGCCTGAGAAATATTTGTATCAGTAACATCAACATTTTTAGGAGTTGAGTGAGATATAGAGTTACAAGGGCTTGAAATATATGAAACCGCCTGATTTTCAGCCGATTCCAAGGTAATGGTTTGATTACAAGCTTCTTCAAGAGTCAAAGTTAGATTTTCAAGAAGTCTTTGTCGAATGGACTGTGATATTAACCCTCGAATGAAAGCATCTCTTATGTACTCGTTACGATTTTCATTAGTAGTGACAGATTTAAAGTTGCATGCTTTACTAAGTTCTTTGAGTTTTCGAAGATACTGATCAATATTTTCTCCAGGTTCTAGCCAGTTGATGACGTGAATATACCTCATTAGTAGGCTTTATAAAAAGTTTGTCAAGAATAGATATATCTTCAGTATAAGAATCAACCTCTGAGATTATTTCATATATGTTGTAGTCCACAAAATTAGTTAGAAGTTTTAGTAGATCATCTTCTGCAGCACATATGTTTCTTCCATGAAATTCTTGATAGTGGTTTCCACTGACGATCAGAATGGGGGTCATTAGGGTCCAAAGATAGGCGCTCCGGCTTGAAGAATTTATCAGTTTACATTTCTTGGAATAAACTTGAATAGAAAAGATAGAATACAACTTGTATAGAAGAACTTGTGATAATATAGTTAAAAGATTAAGTTAAATAAATTGTTATGAAAAGAAATGTTTGGAAACCAAATTTATATGGTTTTATTCAACTTAATAATCAGCTACATTTTACATGACAGAATTGCACAAAACTGTAAACATTACATACATAAACAAAACAGTCTTAAATAAAACAGCTGTAGAATTATTTGACAGTACAATAGAAATCATATTACATAACAAGTTGATACCATAAAAATAGTGTTTACTTACTCTCCATCATGGTCAGACATTCTAGATTTGCTCTCCAGTTCAGAATGTAACCGATTGATTTGCTGTCGCAGGTTTTCAATGGTCTCTTGCGCAACTTGCTCGCGGGTGTGAGCTGTATCTACCATTCTCAGTGCTCGCTTCACTTCCTTTTGAACGAAGAGAGATATTTATTCTCTAATTTACGAGCTCATAAAGTACCCTAGTTCATATGATAAATATAAAACAACTGAGATAGCCTAAACAGACTAAAAAGTAGCATCTATTAGGGAATGAAGAAAGAAGGTGGGAAACTTTATAAACCATAATAAAAATAATGATTAAGTGACTAGGAGTCAAAGTTATGATTGGTTTTGTCTATAGTAAAGTTATGTTTTCTGACTCTGATGTACAACTGATTTGTCTCTTGAGCAGAAAACCTGATGGGCAGACTAAATAAGATTCCTGTTGATGCCTGGCATTTTTTACTCTCAGATTTTATAAACAACTATATTGGTTTGCTATTACCATTGACTTGGATACTGAAGTAGACTTCCCATCTATATGGACCAGCTGTCGCCAATTTTTTATTAAAAAAGAATGTAGTTGAGTGAGCTAGTCACAGAATGCACTATTGTTTAAAATTATATTTTCTACCTTATTTTTGTTTGACATAGTTTATGGGTCGTAACAGTTGCTATAGCTCACAATAAGTTGTTCCTTGACTTGGTAAAAAAGGTTTGTGTATTCAACAGAAATCAGTATTATACCCATCAGCACAATCTGTCAGTGGCTCACATCAACTTTGGCAACTTTGATGAACAACTGGCGACAACTGGGATGGAATGTCTGGTTGTATCAATAGTTAAAGCTATTACCAATGGTACTACTTTTTTGTGTGTTTTCAATGCCATTGGCATTTTTACGTTTCTTCTAAAAGAGCAGGCCAAACATCAATCTTGCTACTATAACAATTGCTTGAAATCTAACCATTGTCCTGCAGATTAGAAGGCAAGCACTGTACTAGGCTATGCAGGTAGTTAGCTGACAGTTAAATAGTACCTGAGTAAGGTTGTCAATGGTCTTCTGCTCGGACTTGCTGTGCTCGTGGGCCACAGTCAGCTTCATGTTGTTATTAGAGAGGGCTTGGAGTTGCTCTTTGATGACGTCGGCCATCCGCTTGCTGTTATTGTGAGACTTGACCAGGAGATCCCACACTCTCTGTATCTCAACAACATATCTCGTAGTGAGAGGGGAATGCTCCAGGTCAGCACACATCTATAAACAAATACCGTTCTTAAAAACTGAAGAAGTCTATACTATACACAACATTTCAGTACTTTCTAGGCACTATCAAAGAGCATAATACATTGCCTCAAAACCAAAATTAGATGAACAAGATGACATGCGCACAAAAATACTTATTTCACCACTGCTTTTAATTTGTGCAGTCATTTTAGCAATAAATTATCGTTGGATTAATTTACGAGGCATGTTTTTTAACTAAGTACCGTTTTTAAATTTCTCCGTTCCAGCGCTGCGATTGGCATTTTTGACATCAGCGCTGTGTATGTGCATCTATTGGCAAGCCAGCACAAGAAATTTGGCAACAATCGGCCGTATTTACATCCGGTTTTGAGCATCCAAAATGGTGCCGCCAATTGAGACTGCAGCCGACTGTGAAGTGAGCACACTGTAATTAAATTTTTAAGTGCTAAAGGTGTGAAAGCCATTGAAATTCATCAACAGATTAGTGACGTGTATGGCGAGAACATTATGAGTGACGGAACGGTACGCAAGTGGGTAAAGACATTTAAAGACGGCCCCACCAACGTTCATTGAGTATGGGAACAGAAATGACAGATGGCCGCCCAGTGCGTTGCTCATCATGAACGATAAAATGATTAGGAGTTTTATAATATCATGGAAATTGTACATATGTAGGCCTATAGGCTATTTTAACGTATATTTTTAACGTCTCCTACAAATTAAACACCACGAGCAATGCTCAGTCCCCTGGTAGATGTATTCTATTTAAATAGCATTAGGTTTAACGAGTACCTGGGTTTGCTGCTACAGGGACATTATAAAGTGGTTTTTTAGTAAAATATTAATAGCAAGTATAAAATAAATAAATTTGCAAAGTTTTATCAAAATATGTCCATAAACAAGCAAATTACAACATATTACAATATTCTCCATAAGAATAACATTGGAATTTTAAATTAACATTTTTTAATGTTTTCTCCCTAACCAATAACTGTACAAAAAAACTTTTACATACTACATTGTTTTTTTTTAAGCTCAAAGGATTAAAACGAGAGAGGAGTCTCAGTCTGCCCTCTAAAAAGATCTATACAGGGTGTTTTTTTAAAAACTTGCATCTTTATTTATGTAAAAACCGCAATAGATAGAAATATGCAGTTTGCGGGAATCATCTATTGACGTAGGGGGCCCAATTGTTTTGAATTCAACGTTACAATCACATTCCCCCCCTTTCCCCCCCTGCCCCCAACTTATTTTTTTTAAATAGCAAGGTACCGCTCGTGACATATCAAATGAAAGAGCATAAAAAAAGAAAATGTTTGATGAAAAAAAATTAAAAATCGGTTCATAAATTTGCGAGATATTTCCCCCCCCCCTTCCCCGGAACTTGATTTTTTTTTAATAGCAAAGTACCCCTTGTGACATATCAAATGAAAGAGCATGAAAAAAGAAAATTTTTGGTGAAATTTATTTGTCATTTGATATGTCACAAGGGCGGGTACCTTGCTATTAAAAAACAAGTTATGGGTAGGGGAAAAAGGGGGGGATTATCTCACAAATTCATTAGCCGATTTTAAATTTTTTTCCACCAAAAATTTTCTTTTTTCATGCTCTTTCATTTGATATGTCACAAGGGGTACTTTGCTATTAAAAAAAATCAAGTTCCGGGGAAGGGGGGGGGAAATATCTCGCAAATTTATTAACCGATTTTTAATTTTTTTTCATCAAACATTTTCTTTTTTCATGCTCTTTCATTTGATATGTCACAAGGGGTACCTTGCTATTTAAAAAAAATAAGTTGGGGGCAGGGGGGGAAAGGGGGGGAATGTGAATGTAATGTTGAATTCAAAACAATTTGGCCCCCTACTTCAATAGATGATTCCCGCAAACTGCATATTCCTATCTATTGCGGTTTTCACATAAATAAAGATGCAAGTTTTTAAAAAAACACCCTGTATAATTAATACGCTACATGAAACTTTGTCGGTTGAACTCCACCGCCATTTCTTAACCGATTTTATCCATTGATGTCTCATTAGAAAGAGCGTGTCGCGTATATTTGCAAACTGGCCTTACATTTTTGAAAAAGTCCCTTGGGCTTTGCCCCAGTGGCTTTGAAAGTTCCCATGTTATCCTTATGAAGAACATAATTGTTTACATTTTGATCAGCTGTATAATTTAATTGCTCTTATTTATTTATTTTCTATTTGAGTTTGTCTAAACATAACCCCCAAGATGGATCGTGTTAGTATGGTTGTATCTTAAATTTGTGTATTTATTGTTGTTTTGTGTCGCCATGACGGATCGTGTTAGCACGATTGTAACTTAAATTTGTGCATTTATCGTTGTTTTGTTTAGCTATAATTTGTATATTTGTTGTTTTTTCTTTTGAATGCCTTCGACGCGACGACAACGAAACATAAACAGGAGGCGTAATCGTGATAACGACCGCAGCTACAGAACAGTGGTGCGTAATAGGCCTAAATCATCACAGTCAGCACCTGACCCTGGACAATCTCAACTATTAGGTTACAAATGTGCCCTAACACTACCCCAAAACGACTTTTCGTTCTCAATTGGCCCTCTATCAATGACCTGTGTTGCCTGTACAGCGAGGCATTTTGAGAAGGAGAAAACCGGCCGGAATGCTTTAGGTTTATCAATAACGAAGATAAACATGGTCTGAGTTACACACCGGTAATCTTTGAGTTGACTCTTTTAAACTCATTGTAAATATGACTGTTATTCGTTTTGAAATAATTCCTGTAATTCATTGCAATTGCTTGAATTCGAGCAACATGTACACTAGTTTCTATAAAACAGTAGAAGTAGTTTTTTATGTAGGGTAAAAGGTTTATAGAAACAGGAATCAGAAATGACAGTTAGCTAGAGCGAGCACACTATCATCGGCAGGGGTGCCCACAGAATGATTTGATAGCGCGAACTGCGCTACACAATTAAATTTTGGGGGGGAATTTGAGATTTAGTGATGTTTTTTTAGATTTGGGGGGGGGGGGAATTAAAATAATTTATAAATAAAAAACTTTTTAAAACAAAACGTTTTTAAACGCACTAAAAAGTGGAAAATAATTTATAAATATGTGGAGAGTATAAATACTTGTAAGATTTAAAACAAAAAAAGTGGGGTGCATGCAATAAATAATTTACAATTACCTTCACCTATTGAACTATTACTAGTAGTACGCTTATTCTGCGCGTAACGGGATGAGTGAACATGAGCGCAATAATGAAAGAGTCCACCCACACCTAGCATACTTACCGGTGTCACTGGTGAACACAATAATGTTATTTGTATGGGCAAATCAACCCATGAGTCGGGGCAAATAATGGTGAGTCGGTGGCTCAGTCGGTAGCGTCACGCGGACTTCGGGCCCAAGGCAGCGATGTCGTGGGTTCGGATCCAGGTCACTGCCACTAAATTTTATCAGTACAGTTCAGCTTTGTCCTGTACCGGCTCACCCCTTGCTTTGCTGTGAACGATCCACGCACGGGCGCTTAGGCCAGGCGCACACAGGCGATTTTGAGTTGCGCAACAGTTGCCCTCGGGACTAATCGGGGGACTGTTGCGCAACTCTCTCGGAGACTCTGAAGTCTAGCGACAGTTGAGCTGGAGTGCGCACACAGGCAACTTTTTAGTCGTGGATCTAGTCTTGAGACGTGTTGGAAATACATTCGTTACAGCGTTCCGAATGGATTTCAATGATACAGCCGTAGTATGTGCTTTGTTGCTGAAGTTTCGCGCGCGAAAGAAAAAGAGAAGATACTGGGTTCATCCCATATATAGTGAGCGACTTGTGAAAGGACAGTTTCAATGACTTTATAGTCCGCCTCTTCTCAACTTCATCAATTAATTGTTCGACATCCTCATCACGCACACTCATACTTGTAATTTTCTAAAAACTTCACACAACAAGAGAGCAAATACTAGTGACAGTTCTGGCCACGAGTAGTTGAACTCCTGGGGTGATGAGACTGAGCGACACAGCGACTATTTAGTTACATGTGTGCGCATCTACACTTGTTTCAATGGATACCAAACCTGGAGCGACAGTCCCGCAGCAATTGAGTCGCAGAGCAGTCGCTGGCAAATTGGGTCCGAGAACATCGGTTGCAAAAGTTGCGCGACTGCCCCCAGACTGTTTCCTTTGTGTGCGCACTCCAATTTAAAACAATGTTGAACATTTTAGTCGGGCAACTGTTGCGCGACTCAAAATCGCCTGTGTGCGCCTGGCCTTTAGTCTATGTGGACGGGCAAATGCAAGGTTAAAAGGGGCTGCCAACCTCTTAAAAAAACCAAATCTCAGTCAACAACAATCCTAACTTCTCGTCCATTAATTAACCAAAGTCATTATGGTAATATACGTAATGTATTTCCTGTTTCCCTCTCTTCTCATAGCATTTTATTATTGCAGATACATTAATCTAACTGTCAAAGAGTTCCCATCACAAAGAGTTCCCACACTCTGAACTGTTCCACTTGACTACTTCCTTCACCACTTCCTACGTCGTGGACCTGTTTCCCTCTCTTCTCATAGAATTTTATTATTGCAGATACATTAATCTAACTGTCTCAAAGGGTTCCCACACTCCAGACTCCTCGCCTCGACTACTCCCTTCACCACTTCCTACGTCGTAGACCTGTTTCCCTCCCTTCCCATAGCATTTTTAGAATTGCAGATACTGTACATTATTTTAATTGTCACAAAGGGTTTATACACTCCGGAATGCTCGCCTCGACTACTTCCTTCACCACTTCCTACGTCGTAGACCTTTTTCCCACCCTTCCTATAGCATTTTAGAATTTCAAATAGATTTATTTAACTTTCACAAAGGGTTCCCACACTCCGGACTGTTCACCTTGACTACATCCTTCACCGCTTCCTACGTCGTGGACCTGTTTTCCTCCCTTCCTATACCATTTTAGAATTTCAAAAAGATTAATTTAACTTGCACAAAGGGTTCCCACACTCCGGACTGCTCGCCTTGACTAC